AGAAACAAACCACAAGAACATGAATCAAATATGCACTTTATTCATTTACAATAAACATCAAAAGTACATCATTCTGATTGAAGCTAGGGGCATACAAAGACTGTCTAACAGCTCCCACTTGCACTTAGGTCCAATCTGGTATAAGCCGGAGTCCCATGCTTTCCACATGTTTCTCAAACACTTTCTGTGATAGTGGCTTCATCAATGGGTTTGCTACATTTTCCGCTGACACTACCTTCTGAATCAGGACGTCCCCTCTACCAACAATCTCCCGTAGTACGTGGTACTTCCTCTCGATGTGCTTTGACTTCGAGTGGGCTCATAACTCCTTAGCCTGAGCAATTGCTCCATTGTTGTCACACAACAACGGGATGAGTGATGTGCTGGATGGAACTGCTCCCAACTCGTGAACGAACTTCTTCATCCACAAGGCTTCTTTGGCAGCCTCGCATGCGGTAATGTATTCGGCTTCGGTTGTGGAGTCTACAGTGAACCCCTGTTTGCTGCTTTTCCAGCAAACAACACATGATCTTATCGTGAAAACATATCCAGATGTAGACTTTCTTTCATCTGGATCCAACTGGAAATCGGCATCAGTATACCCTTGGATTTGTAATGAACTACCATCGAATACCAGACAAAACTCTTTTGTCCTTCGTAGGTATTTGAGTATATTTTTCACAGCGGTCTAGTGCTCCTGCCCTAGGTTGGTTTGAAATCTGCTTACCACACTCACTGCCTGAGCAATGTCAGGGCGAGTGCACGGCATAGCATACATGATGATCCCTACGATAGAGGCATAGGGAACGTCTTTCATGCCCTCAATCTCCTCAGAAGTCTTGGAAGACATCTTCTTGGAGAGAGTGACTCCGTGCCTRAAAGGAACATTTCCTTTCTTGGAGTTCTCCATGTTGTATCTTTTGACTATTTTGTCAATGTAAGCAGATTGGGATAATCCTATTATCCGCTTTGATCTATCTCTATAGAGTCGAAGACCCAGTATATAGGAGGCTTCTCCAAGATCTTTCATGGAGAATTGCTATGAAAGCCATACTTTCACCGTACTTAACATTCCTACATCATTCCCAATGAGTAGAATGTCATCTACATACAGAACCAAGAAAGTAACCTTATCCTAACTGGATTTCCTGTAAACACAGGGCTCATCCGGATTCTGCTTGAAGTCAAACAATTTGACAGCATAGTCAAAACGGATGTTCCAACTTCTAGAAGCTTGCTTAAGTCTATAAATGGATCTGTTAAGTTTACATACCATGTGTTCCTAACCAGCAGCAATGAAGCCCTGCGACTGCTGCATATAGATATATTCAGTAAAATCTCCATTCAGGAACACAGTTTTGACATCCATTTGCCAAATCTCGTAATCATGGTATGCTGCTACAGGTAGCAGGATCCTAATGGATTTAAGCATGGCCACAGGCGAAAATGTTTCCTCATAATCGATGCCCTTTTTCTGAGTGTACCATTTCGCCACTAGACGAGCTTTGTAGGTCTCAACCCTACCACCGGGGCCCTTCTTCCTCTTATAGATCAATTTGCAACCAATTCCTTTTACCCTGGAGGGCGGATCTACTAGAGTCCAGACTTCATTGGTCTCCATTAAGTTCATCTCAGCTTTCATGGCCTCCACCCACTTCTGGGAATCTATGTCCAACATAGCTTCCGCGTAAGTCATGGGATCCTCTTCACTAGTCAAGGTTTTCACTAGGTAACTATCCTGGTCATAACCATAACGGACTGGTGGCCTGGATACCCGAGTGGATCTTCTAGGTTGGTCACTACCTGGAACTTGTGGGACATCTCCCACTGCTCCTGAGCTCTCCTCATCAAGAACTACTTCCTGACGATGGGTGTCCAGGATGTAATCGGTTTCCAAGAATTATGCATTCCGGCTGCAGAACACCTTCTGCTCACTTGGTCATAGAATAGGTAACCCACAAAGCCTTTCGGGTAGCCTACAAATAGGCAACGACTGGTCTTGGATTCCAACTTGTCTGCACTCATTTTTTAACGTGTGCGGGACAACCCCAAATCTTCAAGTGTTTGACATTTGGTTTCTTTCCAGTCCAAAGTTCATATGGAGTGTTCAGAACCGATTTGGTTGGAACCCTATCCAGCACATAAATCACAGTCTCTAATGCGTAACCCCAAAAGGATGTGGGTAACTCTAAATGTATGAGAAGTGACCGGACCATATCCAATAAGGTCCTATTCCTCCTCTCTGAAACATCGTTAAGTTGTGGTGTAACAGGAGAAGCCAACTGTGATACTATCTCATTGTCCTTTAAGTAGTCCCTGAATTCGTCAGAGAGATATACTAGCCACCTCGATCTGATCGAAGGGCTTTAATTTCTCTCCCTAATTGTTTCTCGACCTCTTGTCTGAACTCTTTGAACTTTTCAAATGATTCAGACTTGTGCCTCATTAGGTACACGTAACCATATCGTGGAAAATCATCGGTAAAGGTGATGAAATACACGTGTTGATTGCGTGTCCTAACACTCAGGGGATCACATACATCACTATGTATAAGGTCAAGTGTGCATGTACATCTTTCAGGCTTACCGTTAAATGGCCGTTTCGTCATCTTACCTTGTAGGCAAGGCTCACAAGTGGGAAGATCTTCTACAGTTAGAAAATCCAAATGACCATCTTTTACTAGCCTTGTGATTCGGTCAACGCCGATATGGCCAAGTCGGTAATGCCACAAGCACGTGGGATTAACTGTATCACAGACTCTTTTATTGGGGATTTCAGCCGATGTAGTTTCGGTTATGTTAGTTTCTAGAGAATGATGAAGAACATAGAGATCGTTCTCTAGTTCCCCGTATGCGATGAATCTGTTGTTTCTTTTAATAGTAATCGTATTACTAAAGACAACAGAATAACCATCCGCACACAGTTTTGAGATAGAAATTAAATTTTTTCTTAAATTTTGTACATAAAGGCAATCTTTGAGTACAATTGTTCATTCTCTAAAATTAATTCCACGGTTCCTATGGCCGCGGCTGCAACACTTGCAGAAGTCCCCAAATAGAGTGTAACTTCTCCCTCACTCAGCCTTCTGCTTACCTTGAACCCCTACAGTGAGTTACACGCATGAGTTGAAGCCCTAGAGTCAATACACCAGGACGCAGAAGCTACCAATATTGGTTTCTATAACACAATATTCGAAATTACCTTTCTTGGATTCCAGGTAGGCAAGACAGTTCCTTTTTCCAGTGGTCAACAAATCGCTAACCGCCCGGTGGTTAACTGTTTAAACTGTTCGAACGATTTTGACCACTTTTTAATTTTGTTGTCAGAACAGGCCAACTGTTCGGTTTACACGGTCGGACCGTTCGACCTTGTAACCAGACCTTTGACCGATTTGGTCTCCAGGTCAGTTTTAAAAACCATGCCAAATGTGGTTCTAGTACTTGAACCCTAGCGATCCCTCATTCAAATGATCACCAAAATTTATTGCCAACTTAAACTATTGGATCTGTTGGCTAGTAGGGCTGTCAATGGGTTGGGTCTGATTCGGTACAGGGTGTATAGTCCAGAATCAATTATTAATTAGAACAAAATTATAGACCAAGAACAGTTCCGATTATGAATTATTAACCCAAAATAATTCCAATTATTTATCTACATGTTAATAATAACTTAAAACTTCATTTTTAATCATATAATTTTAATAAAAATGACAATAAAATGGAAATTTTCTTATATATTAATAATTCAATAGTTTTGAACCAAAATTATCTTATATATTATCTATCAAATTTATTTTTTTGAATATTATTAACTAGAAAACCTTTATATATTATTAATTCAATAATTAATTTAGAACAAGAAAGAATTAGAACTGACCCAATTATTAATTAGGACAATATCACAGAACCCGAAACAATTGGTTTGGTGGGGTAGAAGTGTAGAACCTAAGCCGTTGACAGCCCTAATGCCCTATTGGCTACCCTTTGAGTGGGCATAACCGAATTTATCAACTCAAGGTCACATGATGAACAAATAGTTATCGGATCAGAGGAGCTCTCAAAGATTACTTCATTATTTCATTATCCGTTTTCTAAGTAATTTAGATCTGGATTCGTTCATTTTTTAGAAAGTTTAGACAAATTTAATTACTGGGATAAGTGTTACCTAGAAAATACTTATTTTGGGTAAGTGAATTTACCCACACGGGAGAGAGCGATGATCAAACAGAATTGAAGCGTTTAAAATCAAGTCACAAGACCACTACCGAAATAGAGTATATCCCCCAGTGTAAAAAGAGGTGGTCCAAGGACTCTAACATTATGTTGACAAAACACAAATTATCTTTGATGTGCGTTGGCCAAGCATTCCACACGCAAATCGATTAGAAACTGTTCACGATCTTCGTTTCATACAGGGTGCCTCACAACAACCTCACAGATACATTCCACGCATTGGGAACATCTTCCGTAAGTAATGATGAAACTGTACCACATCCCAGCATCTACATTCATGATCAATAGGATCAGCCACCAGAGTGGAGTTTCCCGAATGCCATCAGCCTAAGGGCCTGTTTGGGAGGCTTCAGCGTTGATTGATCTCATTGACTGGGCCAGTTTCCCCAGAAAGGTGAGTGATATGGTGAGGGCGAATGGTTTAACACTCAGCATCCAATTCCACTGAAATGGTCATGCACATATTTTACTGTATATTAATTAAAGAAATTGCTCTCTCTTCCATGTTCCATCAATTTCAACTTTAGCTTTGAAATTTTGAGCTTGAGTTGATTTATTCAACTGTTTACTCTTGTAGTGGTCCTTGTGATGATCAGAAAGAAACTTCTTCAACAGTTGCACATGCAAGAGTGGGGCACAGGAGAGAGATCCGAGTGGATCATTTGGTTTTACATTTATAAAATTATTGATACTTTAAGCGAGTGATTTGGGCACACCCCATTTGTGATAGAGGATAGAGGCCCAATAAAGAATTGTTTGTTGGTCTTTTTCACTGGGGATGAAACCAGTTTACTAAAAAAAAGGGACTTAGTAATTACTTCCTTTTTTTTAATTCTAATGTTAATTTTGAAAACCGTCAGATAGAAATAGGAGAAAAACGACTTATTCCTTAAATATACAAAAGGAAAAGGGAGTACAAGTTTGAAGATTTCAACATGGATGATGGAGTCAAACAACAGGATGACTGGATGGCTGGAATCTATTCTATTAGGGATTTCTTCTGAAACCCATTTTAGTTAGTTGCTCAATCTATAGGACCTGGGGTTGCACTATACTTCATTGTGGTCATCTTTTATTCCTATTTTTAACACCCCTCTCCCTAGAAAACAAAGAGAAATTTTAATATTGGAAACCTAAAGGTCAGTACCAGGCTTGAGTTTATTTCTATCATGCACCTCTTGATTTTTATATCTAAATTTCAAATAGACACAAGTCCTTCACTGGGTAGGAACAATGGCTTTCAAAACTGACATGGACCGGACTGGACGGTCGGACCGGAAAAACTGGGAATCGGTTAGGTGACCGGTTTCATTTTTTCCAAAACCGGGATTTCTCAAAAAACTGTTGATTTTGGTCAACAAACCGCTGACCTGGACGGTTAATCATTCAAATGGTTTTGACCGGTTTATTTTTTTTTAATTTTCTATTTTTTTGTCAGAACAGGCCAATCGTTTGACCTGATAGTCAGACCCCTAACCGGTTCAATCTCCAGGTCGGTTTTAAAAATCATGGTAGGAACCAAGTCACCATTACTCAATGTTGGTCCTAACTATTTGGGTGGGGTGGATTGGATATGATTCTAATCTTTTGCACAAAGTGATCACTCTCAGACTTGAACCTGCATTTTCACGCTCGGCAGCCTGAGATTTTACCATTACACCGAGTACTAGAGGAAACTTATGTTTCAAATATCAGTAGGACAAAAATCAGAGAATGGTTTAATTGTTTGGATCATTCCAAACCAAGTTCCAACTATTTGGGATTGGCTACATGAATTCTGTTCCACAATTCAAAGTTAGTTCCTTTAGGCTCTGTTTATGAAGAATTAATGCAACTACACAAATATGTACAGTGTAATCCTAAACTGAGCCTAAAGCTTAAATAACTTATATCAAAAGTTGAAACTTAAAACATATTGAGCCAAGCCATTATCTCTTGAAGCATTCAAACTGGTGTCCGTTAGACCAAAATTATATGCAAAATCAAAAATCATATTGTGCCACCTGTTTACTTATTTACTTGGTGGTTACTTGTTCAACTTGTAACAGTATAAATTAAAAGACTAGGATTTGGAAATGGTCTATTTGAATCTGCCCGAGAGAATGCCCAATTTATTTTATTTTCCATTATTTACTGACTAAAAGGATGCCGTCTTCAATCTTAAAAACTTGGTTAGTTGCCATGAAATTGATTAAAGTGAGAACAATATTATAAATAGAACATCCAACAAAAATAGGATAATCTCATTATGTTCTAATTCTAATATTAACCTAAGTTCTTAACCAACAAGCTTAATTAATCTTAATCTTAATCCAACATATCCAGAGTATTTTGTTACAAGGCCAACAACATATCCAGAGTTGACATTAGTGCGTTAGTTCCGAAAAATCAGAGTAAGATCTTAATCCAACAGTGGTATTGGCTGGAACACCAAATTTGGTGCTCATAACTTGTCATCCAACAAGGATTCAAAATTCATTACATGTCATATTCATAAACCAGCAAAAGACAACCATGTCTACAACTTGTTAAATAAAGACCCAAAATGCATTCCCACATCCATCCATTCATTCATTCATTCATTCTTCTTCTGCAAGGCTGAATTAGCTTAGCCTACCTGTGGGAGAGTGGGGGAGAGAAAGATGGCTCATGTGCACCCTACCTTCTTCTCTCCTGACACAAATACTTCTGCTAATAAATATGAAATCGTGTGCCAATACAAGTCCAAGGCCGCAATCAATTCAAGAAGCATGTGGTTTGGAGATGATCCTCTAAAATTCACCTTACCCATCTTGATGTTTCAGCTCATCTTGTTCATGTTCTTATCCCGCTCCCTTCATTATGTCCTCAGGCCTCTCAGGCAACCCAAGTTCATCTGTAACATAATTGTAAGCAAACTTATTAATTTTTTCTTCTTCTTCTTTGAAAATTCTAGTTGATAATTGTTTTAATCTTTGTTCTCTTCTATTTGATTATAAAGGTGGGTATAATTATGGGACCCTCCGTCTTAGGGCGCAACAAATCTTTCATGAACATGATGTTTCCAAAGGGAGAAATGCTTGTTGTGAATGTACTGTCTACACTGGCAACAATCTACTTTGTGTTCTTGATTCCAGTGAAAATGAACAGAAATTTGCTACGATGGCCTTCCAAGAAAGCACTAAATATCGGTATCATATGTTTCTTAATTCCTTTCATAGTCACCAATTCCATTGGTCTCTATTTGAGTAGATTCATCGACGACGGCCTAGGACCTTTCTACTTCTTTGTGGGTGCATCCTTGTCTATCACCGCCTTCCCTGTTCTTGCTTACACCATAAGTGAATACAATCTAGTCAATACCGAGATTGGGAGGCTTGCATTATCATCTTCAGTGGTTAATGACATACTGGGATATTTCTTCATGGCATTGTACATCGTTATACATCAGACCAGCTTGAGCAACTCACTACTCACATTTATGATCTTAATTGCTTTGGCAATTTTTGTAATCTTTATGCTGCCGCCTGGCATATTGTGGATTAATAGGACACACACAAAGGGGAGACCAATAAATCAGATTTTCATCACAGTTATACTGCTTGGAGTACTGATCTTTACAACATTTGGAGAAATGATAGGTGCTTCTGCAGTTGATGTGCCTCTTATGCTAGGCTTCGCTATACCTGAAGGCTCACCCATTGGCATAGCCCTTGCTGAAACCATTGATACCATGCTCGAGGATTTTCTTCTTCCTTTTTTCTATATTCGACTCGGGCTAAGTATAGATGTTTACCAGATCAAAGACATGAAAAACTTTGAAATGCTTCAATCCATCATTGTTATTGGATACACAGCCAAGCTGGTAGCTACTATGATACCATCACTTTTCTGCAATCTCAGCGTTAAACACTCATTGTCCCTTAGTCTTATGATGAACATTAGAGGCTTGATTGAGATGGTCACCTTCATAAATTGGAGAGCAAAAGAGGTAATTAAATTAAACCAACTTCTTTACTCATTATATATTTTCTCAATATATATTTGAGTGTTTGATCCTAACTAGCTACTTAATTTGTGCAGTTGATAGACGATCAAAGCATGGCCATTCTGACATTATCAACTATCATCGTTACATCCATTGTAACCCCCTTGGCGACAATTTTCCTTGATTCTTCAAACCATTTTGTTGCAAAGACAAATGGAACAATACAAAATGCCATAATGGATCCAGAATTTAGGGTTCTTACATGCATCCATGGTGAGGAAGATGTCCATGCCATCATCACCCTCCTTGAAACTTCCCACCCAACCAGTTTCAGTGCCATAAGCGCGTATGTGCTCCACCTGGTCGAGCTAGTTGGTAGAGTTATCCCTGTGACATATTGTCAAACAATAAGCAAGCAGATGTTGGAAAGCAACGATTTTGATCCTACTACAGCTGCCTTCAGAAACTACTCAAACAACTCAAATGGGTGTTTTTGCTTTCAACCCTGTACTGTCGTCGCCCCTTATAAGACCATGCACAAGGACATTTGCACGTTAGCGCTTCAGAAAAGGGCAGCTCTCATTATCATTCCTTCACGCAAGAATCACTCCTTCATTGGTGGAGGAGTGTCTGCTACTAATAGCTCCATAAATAAACTTAATCGGAATGTACTCCTAAATGCACCGTGCACAGTGGGGATTCTTGTGCACCGTGGACACCACAGCTTGGCCGCAGTGCGTGACTACTTCGCTTACAGATATAGCATACTTGTAATATTTTTAGGTGGAACAGATGACCGTGAGGCGTTGGCCTACTGCACCCGAATGTCGACACACCCTGGCGTGAGCGTCACCGTGGTAAGGTTTATGCTGTGCGAAACGAACCGAGACAAGAACGATGAGAATGAGAGGATGATGGACGACTTTGTTGTGCATGAATTCAAACTCCACAACATCAGAAATGAACGTGCCGTGTACTGTGAGAAAGTGGTGGAGGACATGGAGCAGGTGTTTTATGGAATCCGATCTCTACGGTTTAATAACTACCACCTTGTGATGGTGGGACGACGACATAACACAAACTTGATGAATGACACAGCCATGGAGAATTGGATTGAAAATTCGGAGCTTGGGGTGATTGGCGATATGCTTGAGTCATCAGACTTTGCAACTAGTGTGGCTTCTATCTTGGTAGTGCAACAATGTGTTATGGTAGATGGGGATTGTTTTAATTGGAAAACTGAGAGTTCACATTATATGCACTGGTGTTCATGATTCCAGCCTATCGAGCCACTTAAGATTGGTTCTCACTAGTGTGAAGTTTAAGGCTTTTGTGATGGTAGATGTCCAAATTAAGAGTTCTACTTCAAGACAAGTCGTTCTAGTGGATAGATTATTTTAGATCGATGTAAATGGATTACTCATATAGTATATTGTATATATTACACATTAGTGAAAATACATAACAGCTTACTGAAATTGTCCCTTGATCTTGTATTATTCATGGTATCAAACAATGTTTTTAACCGTCGTTGACCCAGACGGTCGGACCGTTCGGACTAGAAACCTTTCAGGCGACCGGTTCCGTTTTACCCTAAACCCGGTCTTTGGTCAAAAACCATTGAATTAGTCAATGAACCGTTGACCCAAACAGTTTGACAGTTGAACCGTTTGACCCAGAGAACAGTTTGTGGTTTATTACTTCTGACAAGTTAGAGCAAGAATGAAAAGAGAAGAAGATCTCTCAGATCTAAGATCTATTGGAGGGAGAGAGAGAGAGAGAGAGAGAGAGAGAGAGAGATCAGTTGAGGGATGTGTGAGACGGTGAGAGATCTAAGATATCTCACATTTAGAGATCTGGGAGAGCAGTCTAGAGTCTAGATGACATATCTAGAGAGAGAGAGAGAGAGAGTGAGAGTGAGAGTGAGAGTGAGATCTTTCATCGCTGCCACTATTGCCGCTGTAGTTCACCATCATCGTCATCGTCGCCGTTGCAACCTTCAAGTGACCTCCTCCTCCTTCCTTCCTTCCTTCCTTCCTTCCTTCCTTCCTTCCTTCTTCTTCTTCTTCTTCTTCTTCTTCTTCTTCTTCTTCTTCTTCTCTCTCTCTCTCTCTCTCTCTTCTAAACTCTTTCAGCCATCAACAACTTCTCACATCTCTCTCATTCTCAAAAAGTCAAACCTTTTTTTCTCTTGTATTTATATGCATCTTACCCTAATATTTCAATCTAATGGGTAAGATGACATATCACAGTTACAATATTTAAATCATTCGAACCATTTGCCTGAATGGTTGAACTGCTAACCCGGAAATCAGTGGCTAGAACGATTCCGTTTCCATGTCAATTTTTAAAACCTTGGTATCAAAATGGCTTGGATTCTCATTCATGTACTAACCTTAAAAATAAGCTATCCAAACTCACCCTTAGGATATTTTAGGTCTACAAATAACTAGGTCATCCAAATCTCATAATAAGTCTCACATATCTTTTAAATGCCCTACAATATTGATTATGGACTTAACAATTATGAAGTAATACAATTGTAGATAGAGTGCCTCATGAAATGATATAAATTTTACTAGCAAAGAGTATAAAAACTAAGTACAAATTTGGCTTTGAATTAATATATTAGAATCTAATTTCCAACAGATTTAAGTTGGAACGGGAATACCAAATTCTAGTATAGGCTTGACACATAGGTGATTTTGGAAGAATGATGTTTCTTGAATCTAGAACTGCTCCTTCTTCATTTATCTTATGTCATGCCTGACGGCTCCATGTATTTGTCACAATAATAACATTTTGTACTTTGAGTTTTACATCAATTAGTGTACCTTGAAACACTGGGGTAGTAGTTGAGATGTTTGATCTTGAAATACTAAGATATCTAACACTTGCTATGGGTTCTACCAAAAAAACATGCTAAGAGTGTATTCACCAATACCTATGGTTTTGTTTTTCAAAACAAAGACAAATTGTAGAAAACGCTCACTAAGGTTGTGTTTGGTTTAATAGAACATAAGAGAGAAACAGAAAGTTGTGAAAAAAGTTCTCATAAGGATGCAGCTTGGGTCAGGATGGGTTGGGGAACTTTGTTAAATTTCGAATGGCCCTCAATCAACTCCAACCAAAACCTGATGTAGCTCCCTCCTGATTCATATGAAAGTAGCTTACTAAATGACCATGGTTTTGGGAGTACTGATATTTTTTTATATTCACTATTTCCATGTAATAGAAGATTAAAAAAATGAAAGGGAGGGATTTGCTATACTAATGTTCATGCTTTTTTTTTGTAGGTGGTCCAAGTGCGATGAAGAATGGGTTATGGAACTAGAGCTTAAAATGATTATGATTGCTATTATTTTTATTAAGAACCAAAATTGTAATAGTTGTCATTTATCAGTTCAATGGTATTTCTTATAGTTTTATCTTAATAAAACCCTCGTGTACTTGAAATTTTTGTTTATTAATATGTTTGATCTTTGATCTTTGATCTTTTTTCTTTTCTTTTAAGATTGTATGATAAAACTCAATTTTTGTTTATTAATATGTTTTATCTTAATAAAACCCTGGTGTATTTGAAATCCTTTAAGTTGAGCAACCCAATTTGCAATCCTAAATTTGAGGGCATTAATTAGTGTACTTTGCTTGTTCATTTTATTTTTGAGAAATGCAAGAAATACAAGAAATGGTTATCCAATTGATGCCAATATATATAACTTGCCTTTATTTTTCGAAACCTCTATAGACCCCTATCAAAGAGATTTCTTATCTAAAACTTACCTTTTTGACTAGTGGCCAAGCTAACTATGAGTAGGGGTGTCAATTGAACTGGATTTGGTCCAATCCGATCCAGTCCAATGTGAGTCCATTATAAATGGATCAGGTTCAATCCAATCCAATGAATGTTTTGTACCAATTTGGACCGGTCCAATTCAATGTTTGGGCTGTCCAATTCATTTTGAATTAGATTGGTTTCAACCAAACCCGGTCCATTGACACATATTTTTATCTTATATCAATGGAATAGATATTGCCTTAATCCAACCCATTCCAATAAAAATTTGATACAGAGGGACCATGTCCAATCCAATCTAATAAATATTTTAGACCAAATTGATCCAATCCACTATGTCTTGTTGGTCCATCCAATCCGTCCAAATTGATTTTGGACTGAGTAGCCAATCAACCTCATTGACTTTTTTGTATGATAAGAATTTATCTATAGTCTATATATTGAAATGCTTTGGTCCACATCGGACTCCTCATATTACTTCATAATCCCTTTAAAATTTTGTTATTTTTTTAATTTATAGAAATAAAAAATTGAATATGCGTTATTTAAGCTCACCCACAGCCAATTTAATTAATAAATTAAAGGTAATATGAGCATCTTTTTATATGTTTATTCTAGTACCCCTTATACAGAGTTTTCTTCGACCTAACTTGGAATTTAGGCTTAGTTTGGGAAGAGTAAACCTTGTATACCGTTTCTAAACCTCATATTTGTGTTGTACATATTTGAATTTGTACTCTTCCAAAATTGAGCCTAATAGGGATAGTAAAGCTCAAATAATTAAAGCTAAATTCTAATTTATTTTTTTCTTATTTTTCTCTCAATAGCATCATTACAATGCTATTTAGGCAAAACTAGTAATTAGGGGTGTCAATTGGACTGGATTTGGTCCAATCCGGTCCAGTCCAATGTGAGTCCATTACAAATGGACTTGGTCCAATCCAATCCAATGAATATTTTTTACCATTTTGGACTGGTCCAGAGACTGTCCAATATGTTCAAATTCCTGTTAATTTATATCAGTTTCAACTCAAACCTGGTCCATTGACACCTATGTTCTTATTTTCTATCAATGGATCAGATATTGGCTCAATCCAATATAAATTCATTATGGACGGACCAGGTCCAATCCAACATGTCATATTGGTCCGTCCAAATTCAATATGTCTTATTGGTCTGTCCAATCCATCCAAATAGGTTTTGATTTGGACAGAATCCAACCCAAAACCGGTCCATTGACACCCTACTAGTAATGTTTCCACTAAAACCTTGTTTGTTAGAATAATTTCAACCAATTTTAACATGTTCTAATTGTCAAAGTTCAGAATGATATAGTAGACAAAGAAACATCTTACACATACATATTAAAATAACTCAATGTTCATCTTGTGGTTGTGGTTCAAATTGAAAGCATCTGACGATCAAAATTATGTATAACATAAACCTAGTAGATGAAATTATGTGAAACCCAAGAGTCTAAGTTTCTTGAGATGCATATCTAATGGTTAAAATTGTTTAAACCATGAACCTAACGACTATCAAATGTGTCAAAGGTAAAGCTAACGGTCCAAAATTTGTGATACACATTCAATGGTCTATATTGTATAAAATACAAATCTAACTGCCCAATTTGTATGGATGGGGAATCTAATAGTCTAAAATTTCTTGATGCTCTCAAATCTATATATCTATATTAAAACAAAGCGGTGAAGAAATTTTCTCTTTTTTTTTGAATTTTTTATTTTTTAATTCCATTTCATTTTTCAAACAACAAATGAGATGCACTTTCCCAATAACCTAAATAATCTCTTCTCCTAAAATTTATCCTAAACTACCTCCCCCACTTTCTCCAAAATTATCTCTAATTCCTATTTATCTTCTAAATTATCTCTAATTCCTATTTATCTCCACAATTATCTCTAATTTAATAGAGAGTTTCTCTCCTAAATTATCTCTAATTCCTATTTATCCTCTCCCCTAACTTTTATCTAAATAAAGTTTGGATTAAAAAATTTAAGAATTATTTAAATATTCTAACAAAATTATATAATAATTTTAAAATATTAATTAAAAATACAAAAAAGATAATTTTATATTTTTACAAAATATATCACGAAATTATGTATTAACAATTTAAATTATGTTCATCCAGATTATCAATTTAAATGTTTTTCAAATATTTAATAATATGTAATAGCTTTAAATAAATAAAATTTAAATAACAAAAAAAGTTAAATGTTTTATAAATTATTTAAATATTTAAATAATAAAATATTTATCATAATTATATTTTAAATAGTTAAAATAACGAAATTATCTAATAAATAATTTTATATTTTAAAATATATCATGAAATTATGTACTAACAATTTAAATTATGTTTTCCTGGATCATAAATTTAATTTTTTTCAAACATTTAATAATATGTAATAGCTTTAAATAAAAAAATTAAATATTTTATAGATTATTTAAATATTT